AACAACTAACAGTTAAAACTTAGCAGTGTTTGCATGTCACAACATTCCTAAACCAAACTGACACTACTTAAAATCTTTTTTGAGGGACCAGCAGTTGGTGTAATGGCTATGTCGCTGGACTCCCATGTAGCTGACTGGCGGTCCGGGTGGCTTAAACTCACCCGGGGGGCGTGTGCGGGCGTGCCCAAGATCCCCAGAGAAAGAATGGAGGAGAAGGGATTGCTGGCCCTATCCCCTGGGGGGTGATTTCTCGCTGTCTCTCTTTTCTGGCAAGCACACGTGCCCTATAGCAAAAACCTCTCCAAGGGGGGGGTGGGGTGGGGTTGGGCGGGGAACTGACCTTTTTTGATTTCTTATTTTGCTGAAAGAAAACAATGACAAAAAACGATTTTTTAAAAAGTTTGGTCATTTTAAATCTTTTCATGACTTGCCTGGAATGTTCCAATGAATGTTAACTAATATTGGACATACCATATGGTAGGAGTATCTTTTTTAAGCCTAATTTGAAAAGCTCAAATTTATCAGCTACACAGAGTAAAAGGGGGAAAATGTAAGTCATTTATTTACTTTATGCCGAAATATTTAGTAGTAAGACTTCCCTTCCACCCGGAAAAAAAACAAACGCCATAGGCTGACCCTGGCTCCTGATCCCTTATACAACCTGTAAATTCCTTCTCTCACTGAACAGACTCTTTTTATGGGCATAGTTCACAAATGCGAAGTTGCAGCTTTGCTGGTTTGACGTTTACACAATGTAAGAACAATACTATGATCTGGAATCTACTCAAAGCATTAGGCAGACAGTCAGCTGATGCTCATTGCACGTAGGAAAGACAGAAAAAAGAGAAATTAAACTTCGTATCCGTGTAAGGCATATATCCACTAGCTGGAAACTAAAATAAGCCAATAGCAGACGCTCCAGATAAAGTAATAAAAGTATTTCAATCCTTCAAATAACACCACGAAATAAACAAAAACAAAACAAAACAAAACGACTTTTCCTGGACTTTCTTCCATTCTTGGAATTTTCCTTATAAAGGACTTTTAATCGGTGCACAGAACCAATCCCTCACTACGCAGCCGCTGCCTGAGCAACTTTTACAAAAGGTCAAAGCGGTGCCTTTCAAGAACTTCCACACCTACTGGCTTCTCGGCTCACAGTATCTCGCTTTTACCCACAGAACGTTCCACAGACCTAGGGACCGAGGCTGAACAGAATTTGCTAGAGGGTGCTAAAAAGAAGCTTTCGATTTTCCTCTCCTAACATTCAGACCGCAGTTCACCTTCCTCCCTCCGCGCCCCACATGTTGCTTGCCTGGGTCCCAGAGGGCCCCGCGAGGCCTCGCTTCACCCCTAGAACGCGCCCACCTGATTACCCTTTTCTCCAGGAGACTCCGCCCCCGGCCCCCTTCTCTGCCTCCTTTAGGAGGTCCATATGGGACACTTTCTCCCTCCCGGACCCCCGCGCTGCGCCAGACGGCGCTTCGGTCCCGCACGTTGACTCCTCCCGGACCACAGGCCTGACCTCCAACAGCGGCCCGAAATGCTGGGAGCGCGCAGTGGAGCCGTGGGCCTGCATGGCCCAGGTGCTGTGTCAGCCTATCTGCCGGTTCCGCGGCGTGTAGGGCCTGGAAAGTCACATGGCGGTGGGACCGGCCGGCGCCCCAGCACTCCTGCCCTCCTCGGCACGGGACGAGATGACCGAATCTACTCACCTCCACGAAGAGCAACATGTCTCCCTCCGCTGGCCCAATCGTTCCCGCCGCGGCGACTCCAACTGGCTCACAGGCCTGAGCCCCAAACGTAGGATGAGGACAGTCGCCTTGCCCCTCCACCCGGCAGTGGACCTGGCTCCTCCCCCGCCGTCAGCCGCTGCGGCCTGATCCGCCCAGTCCCACCTCCCTTGAAACAGCGACTGTTTCCGGTTCTAGAGAAAAATTGCTTCCGGGAGGAGAGAAAGCACTCGGGCCGCTCAACTTTTGCACTACCTTTTCCAGCAGCAGTGTGGAATGTACTACCATCTGCTGGGAGGGGGGGGTGCGATTAGAAGAAGGCACCATTCTATGACCCGGGGGTGTGTAAAATTTATCGACGCTGTCGTCGCTTGCCAAACAGCTACCGCAGCCCTAATAATGCCTCAGTTTTCATAGTTCAAAATCGAGATCTGATAAAAATCCGGTCTTTTAAGAAATGTACTGCAACGCCCAAACCTTCAGAAAACGAGGTGGCTCGCAGAAAATATAGAAGGAAAAAAAGTACGGTAGTAATAAAGTAGCTGCTACTGTATCTTAAATGTTTACTCTGTGCTTAGCTCTATACCAATGTGATTAATCTTTTTTATCCAATTGTATTTATTATTATATTTTAAATTTGCTATAGGGCACGTATGCTCACCACAGAGAGAAACAAAGTGAGAAAGCAAGTCACCAGATCTGGTACCCAAACCCTAGTGGGCCATGTGACAGTCCAGTGCCTTAACCAACACGCCACCTGCTGGCCCCTAATGTGGTTAATCTTAAAATCGGTTATGCAATAAATTCCATTATTATCATCCTCATTTTTTACAGTTGAAGGAGGCCTCTAAGTTTCCCTTAAACAGGCCTTTAAAATATCCCTCCTTGGGGGCGGGGGGGGGTTATCTCACATGGCCGACCACTGGCTCAAGTACCGGCCTAGCAGCTTGCTTTCTCATTTTCTCTTTCTCTCTCCCTCTCTGGGCAAATTAAAATAAAGTTAACTAAAATTATTCTTAATAATTAATTATTCTTAATAATTTTAGTTAACTTTTTTATTATTTATTTATTTTGATTTGACCAGAAAGGGACAGAGTGAAAGAGGGCGACAGAGAAAGATATCAAGCCACAAGGTCCAAGACTCAAACTGCAGTCAGCCATGTGGGAGTCCAGGGCCCATAACCACCATGCCACCTGCTGGCCCCTAAATAAAATAAATTTTTTAAAAAATTGGGGGGGGAACCAGCAGTTAGCGTAATGGCTATGTCGCTGGACTCCCACGTAGTCGACTGCGGTTCGCGTCCCGGATCCGGTGGCTTAAAACTCACACCGGGCACGTGTGCGTGCGTGCCCAAGATCCCGAGAGGAGGATGGAGGAAAAGGGATTGCGGCGTGACCATCCCCCTGGGGGGTGATTTCTCGCTTTCTGTCTCTATGTCTCTCTCTGTCTGTCTGGCGAGCGCACGCGCCCTATAGCGAAAACCTCTCCAAAAAAAAAAAAATAATATTTTTTTGTCTTAAGCTTGCTTGAATCAGGTATCTATATCTCCACTTGACATAAAGCTAGTTAATAATAGTAATATGCGGGCTGACAAGTGGCATGGTGTATAGAGGTGCTGGATTCCCATGTAGCCACCCATGGTTTGAGTCCCGGACCTGGTGGCTTGCTTTCTTGCTTTCCCTTTCTCTTTCTGGTCAAATTTAAAAAATAATAATAAAAACAAATGGGATTAAATAATAATTCTTTGATAAAAAATAGTCTGGATAGCCTCTTCATTGATGTTCTGTCATTGAGACAAACGAGATGCAATAAACAAAATTAGTTGGTTTTTTTGGAGAGGTTTTTGCTATAGGGCGCTTGCGCTCACCAGAAAGACAGAGAGACAGAGAGACAGAAAGCAAGAAATCACCTTCCGGGGGGATGGCCACGTCGCAATCCCTTCTCCTCCTTTCTCCTCTCAGGATCTTGGACACACATGCACACGCGGCTGGCATGAATTTAAGCTACAGGATTTGAACCATGGTCTACTACATGGGAGTTCAGCAACATAGCCATAATGCTAACTGCTGGTACCACAAAATTAGTTTTAAAAGTTACTTTTATTTTTTGGTCAAATATCCAAATTCCTTAATAGCTTCAACAATAAACAGTAGGATTTATCCCTCCCTTACCAGTCCTACTTTGATACCCTAGCTCAGTCCCTCATGGAAATAGGTCTTTTATTTATTTAATTTTTTTTTGACAGCTTTTTCTGGAGGGTGCATGCACTTGCCAAAGAGACAGTGAGTGAGGGACCAGCAGTTAGCGTAATGGCTATGTTGCTAGACTTCCACGTAGTCGACCACGGTTCGCATCCCGGACCCAGTGGCTTAAAACACACCGGGCGCGTGTGCGTGTGTGCCCAAAATCCCGGGAGGAGAATGGAGGATAAGGGATTGCGGTGTGTCCATCTGCCCTGGGCAGTGATTTCTCACTTTCTGTCTCTCTGTCTCTCTCTGTCTGTCTGGCAAGCGCATGCACCCTATAGCAAAAACCTCTCAAAAACAAAAAAAAAAAGAGAGAGAGAGAGAGACAGTGAGTGAGAAATCACCCCCTAGGGGTTTGGCTTACCACAATCCCTTCTCCATTTTCTATTCAGAAATTTGGGCATGCACATGCCCCAGCCATAAGTTTCAAAGCAGCCGGGTCTGGGACTTGAACCACGGTCAACTGTGGGAGTCCAGTGCCTTAACTATTATGACACTGCTGGCCTCAAAATAATAATGTCTTAATCTTGTCCAAGGAAATTTTTTAATCCATTCTATTATTTTAAAATTCTTCCTAATGCAATGATTTTATTTTCAGCAAACCACAGATTTCCAGCCATTCTCATTCTGATCCCATGTAATCTCCCTTTTTTACTTTTTTTACTCTCCAAGAGAAGATGACTACACCACAACCCCTTCTCCGTTCTCCTCCTGGGATCATGGGCACACACGCACATGCTCCCAGCATCATTTTGAAGCCAGTGGGTCCCAGACTCAAACCGTGGTGGAACATGTTGGAGTCCAGCGACTTAAACTACATCATCTGCTGGTCCAATCTCTATTTAAAACAAACCTCTACATTTCTCATTTAGATACCAAATTCATTCCACTATCAAACTGTTGATATTCATAGCCAAGGCCCTCCCTAATGTGATCTCCAGAAAACTCCTCTTACTTCATCTCAATGATTAAACCAATCTCTTCAATTTTCCCCTGTAATACAAACTCATTAGCACTCACCTCCAAAGCCATGGCTCAAGTCCTTTTCCCTTTCTGGAATGCCTTCATTTGTCAATCAACCTCTCTCCATAGGGTTTTCCCAAAGACTCCGCTCCCACAGATCTCTTCCTCATGTCCCTTGTTAGCACTTGATTATCATAATCTATCCTGAAGTATTTTCTTTTTTCTTTTCTTAGTTTCTTCACAGGAACCCTATCATGTATTCCTCTCAGTTTAGGATATTGGTAGCTGCATAGTAGTATCTCGAATGCTTGCCAAATTTAAAGAGAGAAGGATTTAAAATTTTGCCTTAATAGCCTTCATTTCCAGTTGCTAATGAATTCCATGCTGTACGAAAAATATAAGCAAGAGAAGGAGAGAGCAATAATTCAAAATTAGTTGACAAGAATTAAGGCTCCTTTGTGAATGCCTACTGGGATTAGCAGTACAAGAGAAATAAAAGTTGTTTAAGGACCACACAATCTAATATTATCAACAGTGTACTTAAATAGATCAATTGGTAGTGCTAAGAAATACTGGATAATAATTTCTTTCTCTTAAAAATTTTCTATAGGGTGCATGTACTCGCTAAAGAGAAAGCAAGAGAGGGCACCCCTCCATGGGAGTTGGTCATGCCACAATCCCTTCTCCTCCATCTTCCCCTCCTTTTGGGATTTTGGGCATGCATACCCAAACGCCAGCATGATTCTCAAGCTACCAGGTCTGGGACTCACACTGTGGTGAGACATGTGGGAGTCCAGCAACATAAACTGCTATGCAGCCTAAGAGAGGGCACCCCTCCATGGGAGTTGGTCATGCCACAATCCCTTCTCCTCCATCTTCCCCTCCTTTTGGGATTTTGGGCATGCATACCCAAACGCCAGCATGATTCTCAAGCCACTAGGTCCAGGACTCAAACCGCTTAGTTGGCCATGTGGGATCCAGTTGCTTTAACCGTCAAGCCACCGGCTGGCCTATCCTGGGTATTTTAATTGGACCTCACATTTATAGAAATAATAGAAATAAATGATTTTCCTAAATGGTAGTCCTTTCAAAAAATATTACAAATCTCTTTGAGTGAATAGACTTAATTTGATTTATAGGAAGGAGAGAGAAATGTTTTCTACCTGTAGGGGGTTGGAAAGAGGTTGGTCTGACAAATTATATAGGGGCTTAGAAAAATTTTCTTAAGGAGAGAAATATGAAACTCTAGTGAATCTCTAAATATTAGGTAGTTTCTGTGGAAGAACTGATGAAGAACATGCCAAATGTGAGAAAAACAAAAATAAAGTACATCTGGTATTGAGAACTTCACCAAGTGGGAGAGAGAGAAATAATACATGGTTACACTTCAATGAGCTAATGCTGTAATAGAAAGTTCACAAAATAAGGTGAAAACAGAGGAATGAGTAACTTGGACAATTCAGTCTTAAAAAGAAGGGAAAATGTTTAATCTATCTATTGTATACTGATTGGTAGCTTTTATTTATTTATCAAGATTTTAGTCTTTGTTATAGGGGTGATGTACTCACCAGAGAGAGGAAGTGAAAGAGAGAAAGAGTGAAAAATCACCCCTCACACAGTCACACACACAGTCAAATCACACAGTTGGTCAGGAGGGATACATTGCCTTAACCACATCACCTGCTGGCTCATACTTTAAAGATTAATATCATTAAAAGATTACTTTACGATCCCAGCCTCTCTGTTTCTGAAGGACTAAAGCACACAGTTTTTAAATGTTGCAACCTTTAAGAGGGATTCCACATAGAAAGATCCTGTAGAGAAATGAAGTTATACATCCACAATTTGTATAAAATGTAAAATCGATAAAAATAATACCATGCATGGGACCAGCAGGTGGCGTGGTGGTTAAGGCACTGGACACTACCACATGGTCGACCACGGTTCAAGTCTCAGACCTGGTGACTTCCTTTCTCACTTTCCCTCTTTCTCTGTGTCTCTTTCTCTGGTCAAAGTAAAATAAGTGAAAGAATAAATAAAATTAAAATTAATAATTTTTTTAAAAATTAAAAAAAAAAACCATGCAGTTTAGGAATACATATACCCACTGCAAAACTATTATATATTATAGAGTAGACACAAATATATAAAATTCATAATTGTCATTGCCTCTGAAGTGAGACAGGGGAACGAAGGGATCTGGGAGGACAAAGTGAACTTCATCTTTATCTCTAAAGCTTTCTTTTGTTTAAAAAGAGCTGAAGATGGGACCAGCAGATGGTGTAATGGTTATGTTGCTGGACACCCACATAACTGACCATGATTGAGTCCCAGACCCGGAGGCTTGAAACTCACGGCAGGCTCGTGTGAGTGCATACCCAAAATCCCAAGAAGAAATGGAGGAGAAGGCTTGAGGTGTGGCCATCCCCCCAGGGGGTGATTTCTTGCTTTCTGTCTCTCCGGTGACCACACATGCTCTATAGCAAAAATCTCAAAAAAAAAAATCTGAACCAAATATGTTTCATATTTGTTCATTCTAGGTGATGACCACATAGCTATTATATTACTTTCTGTACTTTTTAAAAATTAAATTAACTTAAAAAAAATTAAGTTGAATAGCCAACAAACAACCCTGTCCTTTACGCCAGTCTCCTAAGTCCTTTCACCTCCTCTGCAACCACAGGAGCTGCTCTCTTTTCTTTTAGTAAGCAGCCCCTTCAATTTCTTGAGCTAACTATGGAACTTCAAAGTCATGTTCGGTGAGGACCCTTGAAAAAATAAGTAATTAATACAAGAAAGTATGATCTTTATCCAAATATTATCTTCCAAGTTACTAGGAATAAGTTAGGATAACTTGTCTAGGATAAGTTAAGTGGGCAGCTAAGGGAGTTTTAACACACTTATTCCATTACAGGCCTTAAAATACTTAAGTGAAATCCCAGGAACCAAGAAGATCCCGAGTTCCATTTGATACACTGGATCTTGAATTTTAACTCCTAGATTTTAAACTCATTTAAGCAGGGCTCTATCTTCTATTTCTTTTAGCGTTCCTGTTGTCTATGCTTTCCTACCATCCTTCCCCCCTTCACCCTTCTACCATCACAGCATATAGAATGACTAGTTCTCTGCATATCGTAAGCACTCTTTAAATGTTTGAGCCAATGATAATGTCATATGGATGTATTGTGACATCATCGGGACTGGAATACCGTAGTTAGCAACCAATTTGTAACAGGCTAAGCCAAAACCTCTGGGAGTAGGAAAGACTTTTCTGCCTTCCTACTGGACCCGTTATTCACATTTGCCTATATTCTGTGAAAAAGAAGAAATAAAAGAAAATCACCCAAATTTTCAAAAAAGTTTGCCAAAATGTATGAAATAGACAGTGACTCTGAATCAGAAAACGAAGCTAAGGATTCCATCATGATGAAAAGAAAGTCTGAAAATACCATTCTTATTCCAGAGATCCCTGAGCTTGAGATCCCATTCTCAGTACAAGACATCCTCTCTAGGATTACTGAAGCACAGCTCTATCGAGCCAGAGAGGTAGGTAGTGAATCAGAAGTTTACAGACTGTAACTTTTTGTAACTTTCCATGACTAGGCACCTTTTTTTTTTTAAATTTTACTTGACTTTGACTCTGACTTTGGATAAAAAGATATTAATCTTGGGGGCCAGCAGATGGTGTAGCAGTATGTTGCTGGACTTGCACATGGCTGATAACAGTTCAAGTCCTGGACTTAGTGACTTCAAAATCATGCCGGGTGCACGTGTGTGCACGTGTATGCTAACTGCTGGTCCCTGGATTCCCATATTTTCAAGTGTGTTTCGAGACCAGATAAAATCGTTATTTTTTTTTCTTTTAAGAATCATTCATTCATTCATTTTAATTTAACCAGAGACAGTGAGAGAGAGAGGGAAAGTAGGAAAGCAGTATAATAAAAGTTCACCACAGGAACCAGCAGTTAGCGTAATGGCTATGTCGCTGGACTCCCACGTAGTCGACCGTGTTTCACGTCCTGGACCCGGTGGCTTAAAACTCACACCGGGCATGTGTGTGTGCGTGCCCAAGATCCCGAGAGGAGAATGGAGGAGAAGGGATTGTGGCGTGACCATTCCCCCTGGGGGTGATTTCTCGCTGTCTCTATGTCTCTCTCTGTCTGTCTGGCGAGCGCACGCGCCCTATAGCGAAAACCTCTCCAAAAAAAAAAGTTCACCACAATCAACATAACAAATTAACCCTTCACCCTCAAATGTGTCATCTTGTCTTTTTTTTTTTACAAGAGAGGGAATTCTTTGCTATAGAATGCATGTGCTTGCCAGACAGAGTCAGAAAGTGAGAAATCACCCCTCAGGGAGATAGACACACTGTAATTCCTTCTCCTCTATTCTCCTCTCAAGATTTGGGGCACACACATACACAGGCCCAGTGTGAGTTTCCAGTTGCCAAGTCTGGGACTTGAACCATGGTCAACCACATGGGAGTCTAGTACCTGAGCCAATATGCCATCTGTTGGCCCCTCTTCTTGCTTTTATAATCTCTCCCACAGTCCTATCCCTACCTCCAGTTCCAGTCCTCAGTTAACTAAAAATATGCTTTCTACAAGTTAATTTGTATTTTTTAGAATTTTATGTAAAGGGAATGATACAGTATCTTCTTTCTTCTGACTTCTTTCACTTAGCATACTTATCTTGAGATTTCTTCCACATTCTTGTATTAATGATGATTCCTTTTTCTTGCTAGTATTTTTACATGACAAGGCGTTTGGGCTGTTTCTGGTTTTGGGTTATTATAAATACAGCTGTACAGCTCTCTCACAGCCTCGCTTCCGAGATGACAAAGAAAAGAAGGAACAACGGCCATGCCGAAAAGGGCCGTGGCCATGTGCAGCCTGTTCGCTGCACGAACTGCGCCCGATGCGTGCCCAAGGTCAAGGCTATTAAGAAGTTCGTCATCCGAAGCGTAGTAGAGGCCGCAGCTGTCAGGGACATCTCCGAAGCAAGTGTCTTCGATGCCTGTGTGCTCCCCAAGCTGTGTGTGAAGCTACATCACTGTGTGAGCTGCGCCGTTCAGAGCAAGGTCGCCAGGAACCATCTCGTGAGGCTCGCAAGGACCGAACACCCCCACCCCGATTTAGACCTGCGGGTGCTGCCCCTCACCCTCCACCAAAGCCCATGTAAGGAGCTGAGTCTTTAAGGACTGAAGATCTGTTTCCTCTGGGTGGAAAAAATAAAACGTCAATTATACACTAAAAAACAAAACAAAACAAAAAAACAAATATAGTTGTACAAGTCATTATATGGACATATGCTTCCTTTTTGTGTGTGTGCTGAAGGGTTTGAGCACTTTCCAGGGAGAGACAGAGAGACAGAGCTAGAGAGAGAGAGAGGAGAAAACACCCCCATAGGGAATGATCCCCTTCTCTTCCATTTTTCCCTCTCTTTAAGGGATTTTGGGCAGGTATGAATACATGTCCTGTGTATCTCTTTTTTTTTTTTTTTTTAATCTTTCTTTTTTTAAATTTGATCAGAGGGGGCTGAGAGAAAGAGAGAGAGAAAATGAGAAAGCAAGCCTGCAGGTCCAGGACTCAAACCATGGTCAGCCATGTGGAAGTCCAGCGCCCTCAACCACCATGCCACCTGCCGACCACGTCCTGTGTATTTCTTAAGCTGCTGGGTCTAGGAACTGAACTGCGCAGCTGGTCATGCGCGATTGAGCTACCTGTTGAAGCCAGGTCCACATACTGATCTTGTTCGAGAAATCCAGTTACTAGTCCTCATACCTTTGTTTTTATTTTTTAACTTTTAAATTTTTGGGGGGGAGAGAGGTTTTTGTTATACAGCGCGTGCGCTCGCCAGACAGACAGAGAGAGACAGAGAGACAGAAAGCAAGAAATCACCCCTCAGGGGGGATGGCCACGCCACAGTCCTTTCTCCTCCATTCTCTTCTTCTCGAGATCTTGGGCATGCACATACACACCCCTGACGTGAGTTTAAGCCACTGGGTCTAGGACTCGAACCGCGGTCAACTACATGGGAGTCCAGCAACATAGCCATTACGCCAACTGCTGGTCCCTCTTTTTATTTTTTTAATGTAGATTCTTTGAAATTTTCTACATATGTGGTTTTGTCGTATGCTAATAATGGCAATTTTATTTCCTCCTTTCACATCTTTCATGTTTCCTCCTTTTGCATTTTGAAATTATTTCCTGATTTGGACCAGGACTCCCACATGGCTGACCAGGGTTCGAGTCCCAGACCCAGTGACTTGAAACTCACACCAGGCATGTGTGCAAGCATGCCCAAATCCCTGTAAGGAAAATGAAGGAGAAGGGATTGCAGTATGACCATCAGCCCAGGGGGAGAGTGATTTCTTGCATTCTGTCTCTCCAGCAAGGGCACGTACCCTATAGCAAAAATCTCTATTAAAAAAAAATTAAAAACAAGAGTTATTTATTTAATTTTACTTATTCATTCACTTTTGTTGTTGTTGGAGAGGTTTTCACTATAGGGCGCGTGTGCGCGCCAGACAGACAGAGAGACATAGAGAGAGAAAGCGAGAAATCACCCCCCAGAGGGGATGGTCACGCCGCAATCCCTTCTCCATTCTCCTCTCGGGATCTTGGGCACGCACGCGCCCGGCGTGAGTTTTAAGCCACCGTGTCCAGGACGCAAACCGCGGTCGACTACATGGGAGTCCAGCGACATAGCCATTACGCTAACTGCTGGTTCCCTCATTCACTTATTTTAATTTGACCAGGGAGAGACAAAGAGAGAGTGAAAGAGGGAAAGTGAGAAAGCAAGCCACCAGGTCCAGGACTCGAACGAAGCATAATCACTCATGTGGGAGTGTCTAGTACCTTAACCACCACACTACCTGCTAGTCCCTGCTGCCAGTGTGATTTTTAAGCCACAGGTCCAGGACTGGAACTGTGCTGCTGGCCATGTGGGATCCAGCACATCAACCTCCTCACCACCTATTGGCCCCATGTATATATATATATATTTTTTTTTTGGAGAGATTTTCACTGTAGGGCGCGTGCGCTCGCCAGACAGACAGAGAGACATAGTGACAGAAAGCGAGAAATCACCCCCCAGGGGGGATGGTCACGCCGCAATCCCTTCTCCTCAATTCTCCTCTCGGGATCTTGGGCACGCACGCACACGCGCCCGGCGTGAGTTTTAAGCCACCGGGTCCGGGACACGAACCACGGTCGACTACGTGGGAGTCCAGCGACATAGCCATTACGCTAACTGCTGGTTCCCGCCCCATGTATATTTTAAAAATGGTACTCTATTTTCTTTTTATTTTTAAATTTGCAGTTGAGCACATGTGCTTGCCAAATAGAAACCCAGAAAGAGAGAGAGGTCAAATGAGAAAATACCCCACGAGGGAATGGCCATGCCACAATCCATTCTCCTCCATTCTCCTCTTGTGTTTTGAACATACAAACACATATGCCTGTCACGATTTTCAAGCCATAAGTCCAAGACTTGAGTCATGGTGGGCCATGTGCGAGTCAAACATCTTAACTACCATGCCACCTGCTGGCCCCTATCTGAATATATTTTAAAATACTACTTTGTATCAGTAAGAAACTTAGCTTTGTTTTTTTGTTTTTGTTTTTGAGGTGTTTGTCATAGGATCTATGAACTTACCATAAAGAGACAGTGAGAGGGAAAGTGGGACATCACCCCCAGGGTGGATGACTAAGTCATAATCCCTTCTCCACCATTCTCCTGAAATTTTGGCCATGTGTGTACATGTGCCTGGGGTGATTTTCAAGCCGCCAAGGCCCGACTAGCTCCATGGTCAATCATGAGGGAGTCTAGCACCTTAACCACTATGCCACCTTCTGGCCCACCTAGTTCTTATCATATGCAATATATTTATTTATTTGCAGTACACACCTAAAATGGCTTCAGAATTACTAATCCGTACCTTATACATACCACGTTTGCTGATGTAAACAGCATTTATGCACCACTGTTTGGAATTTAATCTTTCACTGAAAATACTGTTTTCCAAGGTTGCTAGTTATTTCTGTTCTTCTCAGTGTGGTATGTTATTCATTTGTATACAAATAGGTTCAATTGTTAGTATTTGTATCCTATTTTGGTTTATCCTAAATTCTGGTTTAACAATTTATTTATTTACTAAGTAGATAAATGTGACACATTAGTATGGTGATCAAAGTCAGAGCTACACAAAAAAATACACGCCCCAGGGGGCTAGCAGGTGGCATGGTGGTTTAGGTGCTGGACTCCCATATGACTGACCACAAGTCCAAGTCCCGGATCTGGTGGCTTGCTTTTCACTTTCTCTCTCTCTCTGTCTCTCTCTTGTGAACACATATGCCCTATAGCAAATTAAATAATATAATAATTGAGAGATTAAATAATTTTTAAAAATATACACTGAAAATGTCACTCCTGTCTTAGCTCTGCTACCCATTCTCATTCTTCCTTTCTTTCTGTCCTTTTCCCACTTATACTCTGTGGAACCAGTTTCTCTAGCTTCTACCATTTTGTTTTTGTTTTTGTTT